GGCTAGGTATAAAGTTTGAAAAAAATAACGTAACGTACAAGTTTAAAGAAAAAATGCAAGAATTCATTTTTCACCTATGTATTTGGAGATCATTCCTTCTAATTCCTTTATATAGCTGTTATATTCTTCGGATGTGCTCCCTTTAATAATATTTTGCAGCAAAATGTTTAAAACAGCAGTTTTTTGCATCTTTCTTTTCAAACATCGAAAAGCAAGACAAAACAGAAAATAATTTGTAAGCAATTTTTTATTCTGGAGAATAAGTTTAGTGAAGGGACCAAAAACAAAAATCGATTCATCGACGCTTTAAAATATTACTTTTGGCCAGCAAATAGCAGCTGCCAGACCATAGTGCAGCGTAGGGAAATTCGGTATAAAGAGTTAACAACACTGCAACTGAGTTTAACCTTTTTATTTATACGAATTAAATATTCGGCAAGAGAGAAGAGAACATTTTCGCAGTACATTAAATTGCAATGTGTCGATAATTTCAAAATTAATTAATGACTTCAGTATAGCAACCCCTGGCGTATGAGCAACCTGGTACTGTTAATGAACAAATTGCATTACGACACTTAACACGCACAGATTTTGCACTGTACTCGTAGATGAACAACGCGGATCAACTAACAGAGTAAATTATATATTTAATAGTTGCATTAAAATGAGTAGTCAGTGTATTCATTAAATCTAACGAAATGCAATAGTAGCTGTAGTCAGAGGCGCACCCAGGAATATATTTTTAAAGTTTCATAAATTGCATTTTATTTACATAAAATTAACAAAGAAATCAAACATTTTTAACCAGCTTCAAAAAAGGGGAGGTTATCAATTCGTCGGAGTATTTTTTCTTCTTTTATGTATGCCACCGCATAGCTTTGGACCACTTGAACCGATTTCAATAATTATTTTTTTATCGAATGGTACTCCTAAATTTTCATACGCGAATTGAAGTCGGTTGTGTTTTTTGCTTAAAATAATTGTTTAAAAAAAGTTCTAAAACACGAGATTCGCTCAACTTTCAAAAGTAATAAAACAAAAATTTTAAAAGAATTTTAATAAAAAGACATTAGTTAATTCCATGAAATTATGTTAATTTTTCTCGATTTCTGGTT